AGAGAGAGAGAGAGAGAGAGAGAGAGAGAGAGAGAGAGAAAGAAAGAGCACTTAGCTATACGACCCGAGGGTGAATCACGATGTGTTGATACTGCTGCTGCTGCTGCTGCCGCCGCCGCTGCTACTACTGCTGAACTATGCAGTAGCCAAACCACAACGAAAATATTTCAATGGGGGAATGGTTACCACAATCTTAACATATTTAAGCATGAAAAAAATTACCAAAGCGATTTAGATACTGCACGCTGCATTCCTCAGCCTACAGAATGACAACTACTGCTGTTTATCGCTCAAACAGACAGAACAGTGAGTGAGAAATACACGCGGCAAACATTGTGAGACTGCACAAGCACTGCCATTTAAAGCCGCACTATGCGCATCTAACAGCTAATTTCTCCAGTACTAGACTAGCAAATACTTCGTCACAATCGTGTCATGCATAATCACACTACCTTATGACAAAATAAACTCTAGTTCCTCCAATTTCACTGCGCGTTGTCTTATAAAAGGCATTTGAAACTACCTCCAATGTTGATCAAATTCTCCGATGTTGTTGACACTTTCGCTTTGCTCTGCCAAGCAACCGTGGAGCGCACAGGCACTTTTAGCGTTTCAATAAAATATAATGCTAACTAAATACGAAATCTATTTACTACCAAATTCTTAATGTTTCTATACTCTCTTTCACCTATTACTGCCGACAGTTTCCTGTCAAATCCTACGTGCAACAATACGCTGCCGGCGGCCGTTGCTTTCGCGGCGCAACTGTTGCACGCTTACACTTATATTTAAATACATTTCGTATTTAGTTAGCATTATATTTTATTGAAACGCTTCAAGTGCCTGTTTTGCGTTGGCGCCAGATTACCAGATTTCGCACCTCTTTCTTGTGGGATTTAAGCAAACGCAAATGGGAGGAACTAGAGTTTATTTTGCCATAAGGTAGTGTGATTATGCATGACACGATTGTGACGAAGTATTTGCTAGTCTAGTACTGGAGAAATTAGCTGTTAGATGCGCATAGTGCGGCTTTAATTACTCTCCGGGCTTACGATCCGTATCTCTGTACAAATCTCAGTACGCATCGTCACATATTCAAGTCTTCCCACCGTACATTCAACACGTTGGGTATAGACTGAATCGCTGGAAACTATAAGCGACGACCTCCCTCGGACACCGTCATGCCGTGTAAGACAGCGGTCCCTGCGTGCTGTGTTGAGCCTTCCCGCAAGACCAGATGCTGCCCTGTTACACAGGCGCACACTAACTGTGGCAGGGATCATCTATCCATGCATCCGTCCGCAGGTCCGTCCATCCATTCACATATACACCAATCCATCTATCCATCCATCCATCCGTAGGTCCGTGACGTCCGTCCATCCATTCACATATCCACCAATCCATCCGTCCGTCTGTTCCTCCGCGTACCTGTTCATCCATCTTTCTATCCATTTATCCATCCATCCACCCACCTAGCCAGTCAACCACCTACCTACCCGCCATCCATCTATACCCCAACCACTCACCCACCCACCCACACGTCCATACGTCCGTCCGTCCATCCATCCCACCATAAACCTGTCGTTATCGTTCATGCTTCATTAAGACACGTGACCGGATGTGAGAACATCAGCTGCCGGATACACACCGATTACACCCCCCCCCACACACACACACATACACAACCACCCACGATCATGGGGCATAGTCAAACGCCGATGACAGTCCGATTATCAGTCCATATGCTTATGCTGCGCGGATTTTTCGACCCGGGTTTTGGCAGCGCACCAGGAGAGGTGTCAGGTCACACACCGGTGCTCCCGCAGTACACCCCACCCCCCTCATCCTGCGAGACAGCGTACATGTCACAGACACGAACACATGCTCATTCCTACACGCTGCTCTCACGACACAGGACAAGGGAAAAGTCTCACTGATACACTGTGCGCTCGCATCACACCCCTTGACTGTGACGGTACCACGACACAGCTAGACATTGCCGCACAGCACAGGACCCCGACACACACGGACGCTGAGATACAGTTACCCCCAAACGGTGCTCTACTGTGCAGATACCAAGGTGGGTCTCCAAGGACTATTCGAAGTGCATTTTGCAAGATTATGCAGATTAGTCCACTAGACAAGTCACCTAGTCAGTTGGAACCGATGAGAAAACGATGATCCGTTGTTCATACTAAGCTATTGAATAGTAGTAGGCTGCAGTAGTAGTAGCGGTAGTAGTAGTTAGAGGGTAAGATAATATGGATCGGTATATAATATATATCCGGGAGTGAGTGAAGTAGGGTAGGTAGTCCGTAGATATGGGTAGGTGAGTGTAGGTGAGTGGCTTATATAATATATATCATTTAATATATATCCTTATAGTCAAGTATATATCCTAGATAGTAATATTATGATTTCCTATATAATATAGTCCTATGATTTATCTTACTGCTGGGGGGTAGTAAGTAGTGAGTGGAGTGAGTAGTAGTGGGGTGGGAGTAGTAGTGAGTTATTGAGTAGTAGTAGTGTATAGTAGCGAGGTAGCAGCAAGAAGCAGCGCAGCCAGCATCAGCAGCGGTGTGCGGGGTGAGCGGGTGCAGGTAGCAGCGGGGGGGGATATGGGCGCGGGAGGGCGGCGGGCGGGCGGGGGCGGCTCAGTTGTTAGTAAGGATAGAGGATAGGAGTAGTCAGTAGAGTGTAGTATGTAGCTCCCGTTGCGGTCGTGTCGTCCAGTCTGCGCCGCCGCGCCGCCGTTCTTCGCCGCGCCGCCGCCGCGAGCAGCAGCAGCGAGCAGCGGTGAGCAGCAGAAAGCAGTAGTAGTAGTAGCCAGTAGCAGCATACACCGAGCACCAGCACGCACACAACAACCAGCGCGACGAATCACAGCGTAAGCTGGATATCAATTGTTGATGCTAATTGATACAATTTCGGTTCATTTGTGTGGAAATCGAATCTATCATTGCAGAAAGTTCAAACAAACCACAAAAAAGAATGAAGTTTTTCGCTGTTCTCGTCACAGCCTGCCTCGCCGTGGCGACGGTAGACGCTCAAGACTTTAGCTGGAGCGATTGTAGCAGTAAGTGCAAATACCTGTTCATTCCTCGAGATTGTGATTTGACATATCTACAGGCGCCATGACTGCGCCCTGGATATATGTTTCGCATGCATTTGGAGCGTTTCAATAAAATATAATGCTAAATAAATACGAAATCGATTTACTACCAAACTCTTAATATTTCTCTACTCTCTTTCGTCTATATATATGTGTCAGTGAGCGATAACGTGCGCGCGGTGTACATGTGTGTTGCAGGGGAGCATTTGCACGGCATTTACAGAAAATTGTCGGCAATAATAGGCGAAAGAGAATAGAGAAACATGAAGACTTTGGTAGTAAATAGATTTCGTATTTATTTAGCATTATATTTTATCGAAACGCTCCACGTGCCTGTGATATGTTTGCGTGCGTGCGTGCGTGTATGCGTATATGAATACGTGCGCGTGTGCGTAGGTGTGGGTGGGTGTTGGTACGGCGGTGCGCGCATGTGTGTGTACGTATGTGCGCAGCATACTGTGCACCCTGTTTATAGATTTCCGCATAGGCAATGAGTTCCTGGTAACAGCAGTCTTGCCCTGCTATCATCAGGGTATCTCCGAGACCCATTGCTGCACCATACACCCGCACGCACGCACGCACGCATGCTCACCCACACACACACCCGCACGCACGCACGCACGCACGCACGCACACACACAAACACACACGCACGCACGCACGCACGCACACACACAAACACACCGCTAATTAATATACACGTTCTCACTGTGTGTCCCCGACATCCTGTACGCCCTCTACCAATGTCTCAGTGCGAGCTATAAGAGATAACTGAACGAGGTCAGTGTCCACGCGGTGTCCCCACGTAATCGGTGGGGGGGGGGCGACGCCACGGGTACAGGCTGGGGCCGGCGTCACCTGTTTCCCTGTCGCTAGTGACGCTCTCTCATGTAATAATCCACCAACGATGCCGCCGATACTGTGTTTCCTACTCACATACATAACCCACACCATCTACTTGTCTACCGTATCCGACGATTTTCTGTCTCCTGCTCCTGCGTTTCCTCCTTACGATTCCCGCCCTACATAACCCTCAACATTTACCGTCCTCCTCCGCCAAAAATTCTCGGTTTCCTATCTATAATATTCCTCACGAAGCCGCGCGCCGTTTGCGCTCGTCACTTTAGCCGGTGGCGCTGTCGTCGCCATGTTTGCGCGTGACGGTGCAGCTAGTGCCCGGGGTTCGTGACAGAGCACGTGCCAGAGCGGGGTTCGCTACTCAGCGTTAGCGGACGAGGACGTGTCGCTGAGTGATTAATTACGGCGGAGCGGAGCGCACGTACGACGTTTTATAGCGACTGTATCTTGCACGCGTATGTCTCGAGGCGAGAGAGAAATCATCGTGAAACACTATAGTGTAGCTCAGTCTCAAGCTACAATCTCTCGGTTACAGCATGCACCCACAACCCTACACACACACGCGCGCGCGCGCGCGCACGCACGCACGCACGCACGCACACAACCCCTGTCATTCGGCAACCTCGGACAAATCTGTTATTGTCTTTGCTACATCGACGTTAGAGGGCGATGCGCCCTACGCCCAAATACACATTTGCGACCCGCTGGAACCTGAGCGTACTGGCGGTAATAAGCAGCTTTAAGACTCATAACAACGGCAAAGAATGCGCGTCCGGCTGGCGAAGGCCATGTAGTCGGCAATAATGAGGTTAGCTTTGCGCGAGAGAAAAAATAAAACATGGGCGACAGAGCAAAAACGCCCGACTCAATATGCTGACTCATTGGCGGCGGTGTAAAGGCAAACACAGGCTAATAATTACCCGCGTAATCAAATACCAGTGACCCACAAGTCGCTACAACGTGGTACGGCACTTCCCGTAGCGACACCACGCGGACAGAATGTAAACTACCAGATCTCTCTCTCTCTCTCTCTCTCTCTCTCTCTCTCCCACCCCTCCCCGTTTATTTGTCTGTCTGTCTGCAAGCCTGCCTGTCTACCGGTCTGTGTCTCTCGATCTGAACTCGCCGTCCTCTTATCCTCTTCTCTCTACCACCTCGTCTGACGATCTCTCTACTTTCGTTTGTCTCCACCAGGTGGCACTCCGATCCTGCGCATCGATGAAATAGAGGTGGAGCCACAGCCGGTGCGCATCCCGGGCATCATCTATCTCACCTTCGTCTCTCACGCGTCGCGAACCATTTACGCGCCCATCACAGTCCGCGTCAAGCTGATGCGCGAAGTCACCATCGACCTCTACTTCCGCAAGTTCGTCCACAACATCACGGTGCCGTGCGTCAGCAAGATCGGATCCTGGTACATGCGTGCGTGCAGCGCTGGTGGCCGCTGTCAGCAACCTGAATCCATCACATCACATCTATCGCGACTTCGCCACAACGCAGTTTACACGCATTTATGGCTAGATGAAAACGCGTGTAAAAAATGTATTACGCGCAGATAATAGATGCTAGATGCAGTACTGCGGGATCGAGGGGGGGGGGCTGTAGTGGGGTCATGCAATAACGGAGCGCCATCAAAACGACAGATAGATCGGGTATTAATTCGACCGCAATGTCACCTAGCAGTGCGAAGCGATCTTGAGCGATTGGGTTGCGCGTGCATGGCGTTCCCCGGCGGTGAACCGACGGTATCGTTGATTTTTCATGTCTGCCCAGCACGTTTGAGGACGCTTGCACCGAGGGCTTTACAGACTGTCCGCTGCACATCGGCGAGAACACAGAGACAAGAAAACCCGTTGATCTACGCTCGCTGCCCAACATCGTGGCCCTGCTCACAGAGGTAAGCTATAACATCATGGCCCTGCTCACAGAGGTAAGCTATAACATCGTGTCCCTGGTCACAGAGGTAAGCTAGAACATCGTGTCCCGGCTCATACAGGTAAGCTATAACATCGTGTCCCTGCTCACAGAGGTAAGCTATAACATCGTGTCACTGGTCACAGAGGTATACTAGAGAGCTGTAATGACTTTCTAACGACTCTAATGACCAGAGGTTAATAGACCTTAGGGAAGATCATTTGTATCTCCATGGAAGCCATAATCACGTTGCGTGAAGCGAGCACCGGCAACCCTGTTAGTGTTAATAAATAGCCCGCACCTTCCCCGGATGTTGAGGAGAGAGTCGCAGAATCTCCCGTCTGAACATGCCTCCACAAGTTCTATAATGCTATCCGTTTAATTTTTAATTACCTACCGCACGTCACTGCTCCTGTTACGCTTCCTTAAACTCGTCCACAATGACTGATTACGAATGTTGCGCATGCCTACTCATTTACTGCTATGCCTTCTCTCTTTCTCCGGCGAGCGCAGGGGAAGTACTATGGTAGAGTGCAAGCGTCGGACGGTGCCACAGGAGAGGAGCTCTTCTGCTTGGATGTGACGTCACACCTCACGAGCGGATGCTCAGGACTCGACTGTGTGTTTGGAGGATAGGTAATAGACGACAATAGCGAGGAAATAATAACAACAAGAGCAATCGGATATAGCAAACCTCCGCCCCCAGCGTAATAACAGTCCCCCCATCTTGCTGGCAAACCCAATATAGTTTGATAAAATTTTCAGAAATATGAAATTGAAAATGAATTTTGAATGCGTCTTCCCCACAAAACAAATCCTGGATCCAGATCACCACCAAAATCTAATCGATTGGTTGTTGGCCCAAGACCAACCCGTCCAAAAAATGTCATCAAAATCCACCCGTAACTCTTTGAGATATCCGCTTGACAGATAAACCAACAAACCAACAAACTAACAGGGGCGAAAACATAACCTCCTTGGCGGAGGTATCTATAAAGCACCAACAACAATTACTCTATCATCAGCGACAGGCAATCAAGGCAGCAACAGCTGCAGCAGCGGCGGCGGTAGCAGCAGCAGCAATAGCAGTGGCAACAGCGGTGGCAGCAGCAAAGATCACAACAATAACAACAACAACAACAACAACAACAACAACAACAACAACAACAACAACAACATCAACAACAACATCATCATCATCGACAACAATAACAAAAACAACAACAACAACAACAACAACAACAACAACAACAACAACAGTAGCGGCACCCGCAGCACGCACTGCTAGCAGCAGCAGCAGCAGCAGTAGCACGCACCTCTAGCACCAGCAGCAGTCAACAAATCGACAACCCTCGGTTTTCGCAACCGAGGAAACGCTACACACGCATGCACATAGCCGTCTTACAGTTCGCACGCATATAATATATATATATATAATATATATATATATAGAAGCAATGGGTAGGAGACGGCATTACCATAATCGCACGCGTACTTTGCTCCTAAGTTTTTCGCCCCACGTGTAGCATAGCTCGATCCAGTAGACGCGAAATACACAGTGCTGTACAGAATATTCTTTTGCTTTTGCAATATCAAAAAACAACCTGTGAAGAAGGTTAAACCTTGTTGGAGATACTGCGATGACAGTAGCAGCAGTAAAATATTAGGAGGAAAAGCTCGCACTCTCTACTAACTCTGGTTCTACGCTAACTCTACCAATTCTGTGGTTCTTCCATAGGCTCGTAAGGACAGACCTGATGGTAGGACAAGATCGTACGCTTCCAGATATTCACGCTACGTTACAGATATTACAGAACGATCACCATCACCCTGTGGTGGCAACGGTTTCTCGATTAATTTCACCATAGATATACACAACAACATTTATATCTATGATTTCACAGAGCAGGTTTGCCCCCCGATGGCGGCACACGCGTTTTTCCTGCGTGAGCGACTGTACAATAAATTGTTGTAAATTCGACACGGCAAAACACGATCAGATTAAGTGCACTTGTGGGTTTGGTTGTTTTAGCTGCTTTAAAGGCAGACGAACAACCAAGCACTCCAGATACAACACGAAACGAGAGAACCGGAGATTGGGGGGGGGGGATACGCGGGGAAGAAGACGATCAACTGTAACCACATTTATCCATATTTCATAAATATTTTAACATGCACGCTTTATATTGAAGTGGAACAAAGATATTTCGGTGCGAATATATAGAACACATAGGGAAGAGGGAGAGGGACACGGAGAGCAGGCAAGGGCAATAGTGGGTAGCCTTTCCCAGACTAGATCCCGCAGATATATTTAAACCTTGGCGATCGAATGTTCGGTTTTCTCTATAACATAATGACGTTTTACGAAGCTTAAAAATGCAACAATAATCAATTATTATAACCAATTGCACAACATTGGAAAATTGTATATCAGACTATATTGTCCCGTTTGTTAATAGTTATCGAGAAAATAAACTGCTGTCAGACCTACGTTAATGTTTTTCGAACTTTCTGTACTGCGCGGCATGATGTGATGGTGGCGGATGAGCAGTGATGAAAAGCGGAGATCAGTTAAGTACAGTTGCCTGCTAGAACTACTCACTCACGATAACATGTACAAGGAAGACGAGTACATACCGACCCGGGAAACCCCAAGACTAAATGAATAGACTTAAGACTAAATTGATTCACCTTAATTAATTAATTAATTAATTAAAGTTTATTAATTAAGGATAAATTTACTGTTAGTTCGAACTATCGGTAGAATGCAATTACATTGTACTCTAATGGAGTCACACGCACCCCACCCGCCCCAGCGTGAGAGATTAGGCGGACACACATAGTTCCTCAGAGGGATAATGATCGCGTGAGATAAGAAGCAGCTGGTTGTGATACCTGACCGCACGCACTGAGCAGCCGCCCGCCACGCTTTAATGTTGCCGATCGCAGCGGCGTGTGCGGGAGAAACAGCTTTCTAATGCAATCACGATTCTTCCAGCAGCATCCGAGTTTTCCAACGTCGCTCTATTATGTCGATGACACTTCGCTCGTTCAGGCATTACAAACCCCAGTCGACACCTACATAAGCACAGGGGTTAATAATGACAGTATTAACCCCTGATAAGAACTATAGGGACCTCACACTGCGTGTACACCCAGGACACAGACAAGCTCAGGTGGGCTTCTCATAACCCTCCCCGGCCCACGCGTTGCCATGACACGAGTTACTGGTGGCTGGCTACGATCGATACATCACATCATCATCATCATTATGAGAAGGCGCGTGTCGATACGCTACAAACAACGTTTTACACACACGCAACGGCATCACATCACATCGCGCATCACATCAAACACAGCGCGCGCATGCGCAGACACCCATCGCTAGGCGCGCAGCGGCGTCGTCGTGAGAGGGGATGATGCGGGGGTTCGTCGTGAGAGGGGATGATGCGGGGGTTCGTCGTGAGACATAAATATATAATACATATAATTTACTAAGCTATTACCCGTCCTCCAAGACGGGTTCGAGTGGGTCTGAATTGAGATGCGTTTAACCATTTTTATTCTCTCAAATTTATTTGAGGATGGTATTTACAGTAAACAAAATACTGATATTTTAGACTCCGGCAGTCAATATACCAATATTTGTTAAAAAAAATTGTATTAAATATATATAAAATCTGAAATTTATACTTAAAAGGGGGGTGATATGCACATTTTTCCCAAAAAAGGGAAATAGGGTGAATTTCATAGTACAATTCACCATTAGTCGATATTTTTGAAATATCATTCTGGTTAGACAGCATCAATGGAAAAATCAAATCGTATAAAAAAGCAAAATCATTGAGAGATAGTTTTGAAGATATATTTTCCTTGAAAGTCAGTGGACGGCGGGCGGCAGGGTTACACCTCCCCGTTGTCAAATATTTGGCACACAGCGCGTCAGACACACACACATCACACACGGGACGGACGCACGCGAGCGCACAATCATACGCGGCACCCACGCCACACATGCCAATTTCACACACACGGGCGGCAACACAAAATACACGAACACGCAACATGCACACGCAGCACCAGCGCATACATACATACATACACATCACGCAACAGATTCGCAGCGACAAGTAGCGCACACGCACACGCATACACACATACACACAAACTGCAGCCGTCTCTCGTTTGGATGTTTGTCGCTTTGGGTTTTCGCCTCCACAGCGTGCGGCGGCAGTGATTTGGGCTTGTTGTATACACCGCAGCCGCAATGTCCATTTGTGTGTGCGTGTGTACGCGGCGCAGGATGTGGCTGCGTAGCGTTCGTGCGTGCCGTGTTCAGTGTGGCTGCTATGCTAAGGTGAAGGCTCCATCCTAAATTAAATGCTTATTATACCTTTTTATTCTGAAGTCTACATTTAGTAATGAAGCTACTATTAACCTTTAACCCGATGAGAAAACACATTAATAGTTTACAGCAAGAGCAGGGGACCCAGGGCGCGGCAATTTCAAAAAAGGTTTATGGTATATGAGTGTGTGTGTTGGTGCTCTTGAGACAAATCGAAACAGGCCGTCTAAAAAAAATGCTCAGAGCATTGGGACCGGCGCTAAGTGCGCACTGTTTCGATAGGAGTGCCGGCGCATGGCTGCCGCCTGTGAGTTGATCAGGAATTTTATTAAAAGGCCTAATGTAATAAGTTGCGTCGGGTGGTTACACCTCCCGTTGCTCAAATTTTTGCACACGACAGAACGCGCACCGCGCGGCCACACATCCGTATTCACACACATACGGGCAATGCGCAACGACACAGTCATCACAACCGTCACCCACGAAACACACATACCACATTTACACACACAGGCAGAGCCCGCCGCACACACACAGCGTCACATCACCCACGGGGCACACGCAACACGCACGTCACGCACGCACCAGGCACACACACACACACACCGCCACACACACACACCAGCAACACACACAACACATACAACTCAGGCCGTCTCTCGTTTGGTTTGCCCTTCAATTTTTCGCCCATTAGCTGTGGCGCGGCATGTGCTTGGTTTGTATTATCACGCAGCCAGGCAATGGTTTGTGTGTGCGCATGCGGATTTGCGGTTACGTGGCGCCACGCCCACGCACAAAGCACGCACACGACGCATGCACACGCACAACCAAACGCATACATACTGACTCCGCGATTGAGATTTTTCGCGCGGAATCGGCGATAAATCGGCCGGATTGGACAGTTCGCAGGGGGTCGCAATTTTGTGATAAACGTCACATTCGTTGAGAAAAAAATGTGGGGGGGTTGATACTGGAACGTTGCGGTAAGCGAGGTGATTTCATGCTCTGATTAGACTGCGCATGCGGATTTGGCCAATCTTAAAAAATTTGGTACAGTGTTCGATGAGAGCTACGTTCATCAGCATGCGGCAAAGGTGCAAGCATGTCTCTGCATGTGTACTGCGCTATAGCGAAAATTGTTGACAGATCTTAAGAACTTTGGTCCGGGTTTCCTACTGAATGATCCGAAAGTTTCTTCGGGCACATTACACTTTTTAGTAAAGTTGCCAGTCCCCAAGGAAGGTCACTTTAGCGATGGAAAAAAATCGGTTCCGTGCTAAAACGCTAGCGGAATGTAATTCGCGACGTCCAGAAGGGCACCCTGATGTCGATTTGAGCTGCGAGCACACGTGGACACGGGTTTTCGAGGAGATAACGGGAAAACGACACCCTTCGGCCTCTTTCTACTATTAATTAGTAGACTAGCCTATAACCCGTCCTCACAATCGGGTTTGATTCAGGGAAGTATGATTTGAGGGAAGCGTTTAACCATTTAATTGTTTGAAAAAAATATCATCTCTGTACGAATCATTATTAATAAGTCAAACTTTTTAAAAAAAGAGCAAAAATGCATTGAGGTAGTTTGAAGATATATGTTTCTTGAAAAATCAGTGGAACGCGCGGCGGCAGGGTTAACATCCTCCCGTTGTCAATAATTTCAGCACACCGCGCCGCACGCACGCACGACACCGCATCACACACACACGGGCATGCGCAGGCGACAAATCAACACGGACGCGCACAGCCACGCACGACACATATCCAATTTACAGCACACACATACACGCAACAATGCACACGCACACAACACGCATACATACACACACACGCACACGCACACGCAACAACACACGCAATAACATAATCATACACAGCATGGCACCACCACCACACACACCACACGCAACGCACAACACGCACACGCACACACGCAACACACATACACACACATACAACTGCAGCCGGTAATCTCGTTGGAGTTTGTGCTTAAATATTTCGTCTCACAATGTGCGCGTGCAGTGATTAGGCTGTTTTATAACACCGCAGCGCCGCAAACTGTCTTGTGCTGTAAACGTGTCGGTGTGGCGTGCGTGCCGTTCGTGCGTGCGTCTTAGTGTGGCATGATATGCTAGTGAAGGGTCTCACAACTAATAAATGCTATTATCGATACCTTTTAATGCTACCATTTAGTATAGCTATACATTATCAATTAAAACCGTGAAAAAGACGTTAATAGTTTAACGACAAATTTCAAAGGTTATGGTATATATACGTGTGGTATGTGACTGTGCTCTTAAACATCGAAATAGTCGAAATCGGTCTAAAAAATGGTCGAAGCGCATGGAGCCGGGTACGCGCGGCACGGTTAACACCTCGCCCTTGTCAAATAATTTGCACACATCGCGCGCAACGCAACGCACGACAGTTCCGCATTCAGCACACATACGGCCATAGCGCACACGGCACAAATGTCACACGCGCGCACCCACTGCACAGACACATACCACATTTACACAACACGGGGCGCGCAACACACATACACGCACACGCGCAGTCGCGCGCAAATGCACACGCAACACACCACGCATACATACTACTCCGGATGACGATTTTTCGGCGATCCGCGAATCCGGCCGGATTTGGACAGTCGCAGGGGTCAATTTTGGTGAAAACGTGAAATTCGTTGAGGAAATTGGGGGGGGAAATACAGAATGTAAAAAATGAAATTATACCTTGAACAGTACCTGACAGTAGACTGACAGCAAAGTCAACAGCCGGGTGTTACAGAAGCTAAGGCGTGTACCGCGCGCTGCCGCTAGTGCGTACGTCCGTCATGGCAAGCAGCGGTGCGGATTGAATGTACGGGCGAACGATTTGTTTTCATGTCTATGGCGCGAAGCGATGCCGCTGTGGGGCGCCTGGGAGGTTTTAGAACGAAAGTAACAACGAAAACCGGTAGCTCCCGTCCTATCGTTTCATCCCTATGAGGGGTTGATAAATTATTTAAGGTGCGGACTCCGCTATTTCTATCCCTGGGTATAGTGTACAGTATTTGTAAAGTAATTTATGACATGGCCATGTGTGATATGTGTTTAAATTGACAAATGCTGGAATGTACAGGAATATACCAGAAATCAGTAAGTCA